GTAAGAGTTTGAATCAACATCAATTTGGGATTATAATAATGTGCAGAATCTTATTGCTCTTAAACCACAGTAAATTACAACCAGTGCTATAATACAGAGAGATTACATTCCTGGACAACACTTGCTGTCAGACTGTGTTTATCCTTACTCTCAAGTAACTTTAATAATTAACAGTTTGAAAAACCTAGAGATTCACAAGGCATCGTTTTCATTAAAACCCAATTTTAGTAAAACACACAAGGTTAAAATGTGGCTTCATTTCTAACCTGGCAACTGCCTAATTAAAGAAAATAACATTGCACAAATAAAGCATCTCTTTAGGCCTTATAGCAATGAACCGTCTTACTATTTACATCTAGTAAACAAACATAATATCTGTATAAAAATGGCAAACATGCATTCATCTTATTTCTCCTGCTCTTGTGTTTCCATTCCCTTGGGACCTTCAGCATCTCTCTGAGTCACTGTCTCTCTGCAGTCAGCACCATTGCTCATGCCTTGCCCTGAATTCCCCGTGCCCCCTTGACCAGCATCCTTTTCTCATCTCTTCCTCCCTCCCATTCCTAAATTTCGCCGATTCCCTTTTTTTTCTCCTCTTCACGCCCCTTAAGCATTGGTGGTCTTTTGACTCCTTCATTTTACAAACACCCATTCTCTTCCTGTGAAAGCATATCCATTGTCAATGCTCTTGATATCTCCAGGTCGATTGTTCCTTCCAGTGGGAAATACAAATTCAGAACATTCTGCTTGGCATGGGAGCACTTGTGCCTGTGTTTGAATCTGCTTTGCTAGGTCCCTCTGATCTTGTATGTGCTGTGTTGTAGACAATCTAGAACATCCCTGCCACCCACACATGTACACCTTTCTTTATAGTGTTTCATCTTCTCTTCCCTCCTTCTTCCTAGCTCTTAATGTTTAATCCTTTCAAGATTTAGGTGACGTCCCACTACCTCTTGTGAGCAGATTTTCACATCTTTCACACAGATTACAAATTTGTTTATCTGGTTCTTCTCTTAGTAAGTTTGATCTTTTAAACCTGGTTTTTTAGGAGATCATTTTCATACTTGTTTCTTAAATACTCAGTTTTTATAAACTAGTGATCCAGGAGGGCAAGGTTTTCTGCTAATTTTTTTCTGCTTAATTTTTTAATCCTCTTGAGATCTTACTCCAGTGCCTTTCGTATAATTTGTAGATTTTATCTTCATTAAATTTATATTATATGATATATATTATATAAACTATATATAACCCCATATTGGTGGGATTTGTAATTATTTATGGAATGTGTAAGAGCATTATAAAAGTGGCAATGGCGGTTAGTGAAGGCTAGGGGAGGCACGATAGAAACGAAGCCATCTTACAAGGCACATTTACATCAGTAGAGTATGTTGTGATGTTCTGTTGTACATAGGATGATGACAAGAAATAGCATTGCCTTGAATATTTCAAAGTGGCTTAAAAAAGAACGTTGAATGTTCTTACCACAAAGAATTTATAAGTATGTTAAAGGACATGCTACTGACCACTCTGATTTGATTGCTACATTACATATTCAAGTACTGAAACACCACATTGCACCTCATAAATATGTGGAATTATTACTTGCCAATTTAAAACAACATACAAAGAGATCCACAGTAATCACGTTGCAGTGTTGTGTTGTCATGCTGGAGCCTTAGGTCAAAACAACAACAAGAACAACAACACAAATCCAAATCAGTGAACCTAGTTTCAGCTCTAGATTTGATTAGATTAAAAATAACTGTAAAAGTCCCTATCCAGAGATTCTGAAAAATCACATTCTTTCCCAAGGAAGCGCCTAACTCTGTCCAGCAGAGGGCAGTGGTACCTAAGTAAACGGTGGTGCCTAGCCCTGCCCTCTTGGTTCACAGTCTTATTCGATGGTGGTGATGAAGAAGGGCTTTTGCTGTGGGATTGGGGTGTGATGGACAAACTTTATATAAGTCGGCTACATCCAACTTTTCTTTTAATAAATCTTTTCTAGATTTGACTTGAAATGAAGACAAAATCTAGGCCTTATTATCCAGGAAGTCACATAGAAACTGGCACTCTGCCCTTCTTTGGAGCAGCTGTCAACATCTGGCTGGCTTTCTTTTCGTTGCCACCCTAACCATAAGCCTAACTCCCCAACTCCAATCCTTCTTTAATATTAGGATTAGAAACCTGGCAGGGGAGCTGCTGTTGCAGAGAGACTCATCGCTTGCTCGATAAGGAAGGAAGCAAGAAAGCAGACACAAGAGATACCAGTCAATATATTTGATAATTTGCTTGTTCATCTGTTTATTTTCTCATTTATACAATGATCTTACAAACCACTTATCATCTATTACAATAACTATTGTGGTGGCAGAAATAGACACAATGTCTAACGTAAATCACAATGTTCACCTTTCAAGAGTAACTAAAGCACAGGAATTAATGACACAAATACTTAAGTTAATATGCAGAGGGATAGGTAAACATTCTGAGACCTCCTCTGAATAGCAACTGACAGGTCCTCATAAGTTTAGTGTTGATTATTTTTGTAGGAGGAAATGGGAAAAATGGGGAGGGCTTTAATTGGCAACAGAGGAGGGAGGTCAATTCAGAAGAAAAGGAGAGAGGAGGAGAACATAGCACTGAGGATGTCTGAAAAAGCCATAAGGAATTATACCATTACTTATTGACCCATAATTAAATGAAATACATATAAGTCTGTGTATACCTACGCATATACATGTACATATACACATATAATTTAAATAAAGTTGTCTCATTTGGGTTAGCAATGCTCCCACCAAGAACCGTAGACTAGCTAGTAAAACCCCAACATGACATCCCTTTTCAGATGTTGATTAGGGGCGTCCAAGAGACTCTCCAAACAATAGAAGCTATTGCTGTTGTCTTTGGTTGTTTTCCAGAGGTGGAAGGTAAATTCCTATGACTGAAGATACCACGCACTTCAGACATAGGACCTGGAGGTTCTGAGCTGGATCTGATATGAACACCTCACCGCTGAGGACTAGCTTTAATAGTACCAGAAAGTGCTACACAAGCTGCCAAGGGAGAGAAGCCACCAATAGTCTTACTCTACTGTGATGCCTATGAATCACAAGGACCATGGATATTCCTAAGGATGCAGTAGCGACACTTACTTAGACCTTTGTGGTAACCACAGCTCTCTAATTGGACTCAGCGCCCGCTCCGTAGGAGGGAAATCATATCTGCTTTGGAAACCTAGCCAAATACCTGGGGCTAATGAGGTCATGTAGTTTAGAGAATAACCTACTAGCACCATTTCCTGGATCAGCATAATTCCTAACTTCATTCTAAATGTAAATGCTTATACACACAGGTGAGTGTAGCCCTCACCTCTCATTAAAGAAAGTCATCTTTGCAGCAGATGGAGACGATTACAGAAAACCGCAGCTAGTATAAATGCAGAGACCAACCAAACACCCGGTGCCCAGTCCCAGTTGAATGTCTACAACAGAACCTTGAGGCTAAGGCGACACCATGGAAGACAGAGTGGAAAGCTTCTAAGAGTCAGAGGGTCAGGAAATTGCTGTGAGAGGGTGTCACTTATAAATGATGGGGAAGTTTCTCCCATAAAGTCTCACCAACATGGACTCCTAAACAAAACCTGAAAATGTATGAAACCAACATACATGTGAAGATGGAAGGGGAAAATACCATGAGGCCCCAACCCTAGGCAAGAAAATATGGGTGAGTAAGAACCCTAACAATGGGAGGAACAATCTTCCCCTGGGATGAGCATCCTAATTGGGGACCCAAAACCAAGTGGTCAGCGCTGAAATCATACACATACAGGTAACACCAAACGACTGAGCAGGCTGCATTGAAATATTTAGCCTTGTACTCATATCTGCAACAATAACAAATAAAGAAAGCCATGATTTGATGGGGAGCAGAAGAGGGATTATGGGGGAGGTTGGAAGGAAGAAAGGGAAGGGGCAAATGACGAAATTCCCTTCTGATTAAAAAAGTGGTTTAGACTCCTCTAGGAATCTAGCCCTTTGCTTTTGATTACAGCTTGTGCTCAACAAATGCTTCTCTTTTAAACTTGGTACATTTCAGTTTCTAATTCATGAGGTACATGCAACAAGAATGGTAATTGCTCTCCATCTGAGAATCAGAACAGAAAATCTAGCCCCTAGAGAAACTGTCCAGGCATGTAGTCTGTAAACCATGTCCTGGGAAACTTCTGGAACAGTTTTTCTTCAGTGCAGTCAGAATCACCTTTAATTACATTGGATTACTTTTCAACCATTCCAATTTCCTTCCTGGAAGCCTACAGAGTGAGACTCTAGAGGGATGGAGACCAGGGGAACCAGCACTTGCATGCACGTGCCAAGCGATTGTTAGCTCATGCTGGAGCCCCGGAACACTTTTCCTTGCTCTGTTAGCTCATATACACCTCCAAGCCAGGCATGAACTCTGAGCTCTTTTCCCATTGCGTACACTTCTGAGTCCTGAGTACAACAGAATAACATCTGGCACAGAGTAAATATTTATTGTCTGATTAACTAAGTTATATCCATATAGAGTATTAAATAAATCTAGTTTCTACCTGAAAGTTCAGTTTGACGAAGGTTTCTAATGCTAAAAAACAAAAGTGCCATTGGTAGAATCATCTTCTAAAGTAAGGAGGACAAGTTAGATAACTGAAAGCCCTCAGAGATATGGGTTTCTCTTATATATTTATATTTGGTATAGAATGTATTTTAACTATGTTCTCAAAGCATTCTAAATAATTACTGATTAGGTGTAAGCCTAGCCCTGTATGGAGTCCAGTCTAGAGATTTTTATTTACCAAATGTCAAGTGCCATTCAAGCTTGATCTCTCCTTGAATGACCCTGACTGTGGGTCATCCCTCTCAGGACTGGGATCTGACACAAGTTAATGTTTGACAACGAAGTGACTTGTTACGTGTGGGCATTTGGATCTGGGGTGAAACCCTTCCACCTGGACGCTAATGTTCAGTTTGATGGACTTTGGACATCTTTTCAGGGAAGAGGCCTGAATTTTGTGACTCCTGTGCTCATTTCTACTACAACTACTACATTGAGCACCTGTGCCTGTGAATGCCTTTAGCATGTTCTACAGATACAGTTGGTTGGTCTTTATACAGTTATGGGGGAAATGCTTTTGCTGAAGAAACACTGATTCTTCACGTGGGCTATGAGGTAACTAAAAGCAGGATAAAATCCTGGCATCTCTACCTCCAGTTTTCCACATTTCCTTTTCTTTGGATTAGACTATTTGTCTCTGCATATGGGTGTTATTCGTGTGTGTGTGTGTGTGTGTGTGTGTGTGTGAAGAGGTTGGCACACACTGTGGTATGCATGTATTGTGGTCGGATGAGAGTCTTGGGTCCTGGTCCTCACCTTACATCTTTTTTATTCTTTTACTTTTGAGATTAGAATTTACCCCTCCCATTCCTCTCTCCAAACCCTTCTAAATATCTCCCCTTGCTCTTTTTAACTTCGTTGCCTCTTTTTTCCATCAAGTGCTGTTGTTGCCTATAACTGGATGTGTATACATAGATATTCCTAAATATAACATGCTCAATTGTATAATGTTACTTATATGCAATTGTTCAGGACTGGCCATTTGGTATTGGATAACCAATTGGTATGCTCTTCCCCAGGGAAGACTATTTCTTCCACTTTTCGCATTCCTTGCTTGCCCATAGTTCTTTGTGGAGTATTGTGTCCTTTTGGGCCTTCTCTCAGAACTACATATCTGTGAGTGTAGCTTCTGACATTATAGGAGATGCAGCCTCACAACAGATTTCCTGGTTCTCTTGCCCTTACAATCTTTCCTGTTTCCTCTTCTGCAAACATTTTTCTTTATGCACCCTGAGTCTTAGATACAAGAGTGTTTTTTTAATATATCCACTGGAGTTCTGCATTTTGATTGGTTGTGGCTTTTTGCAATTTTCTCACCTTCCATCTTGAGATAGGGTCTCTGTTATTCCTTGCTGCTCCCGCCAGGCTAGCTGGTCCTCAAACTTCCAGACATTCTTCTCTTTCTGCCTTCCATTTTGCCACAGAAGCACTGTGATTGCTGATGCACACTGCCATGCCTGGCATTATATGGGTTCTGGGGATTCTAACTCAGGTCCTCATGCTTGTTTGAAACATGCATTTACCCAACTGAGCCTTCTCTCTAGTCCTGCACCCATCTATAGACTGGAGATATTTATCTGTATCTCTTTTAAAGGCCGAAGGCATAAAGGTAACATTCATTAACCTAAACATATGGTCACCAAGGATTCTAAGTTAGACAAGTCCACAAATGTGGAGAATTATTTTAGATGGTGAGGCTGCACTGCGAAGCAGGAGTTATCATTTCATGGGCACTAGATTGTCCCTGCAAGCAATAAACTGTCTTTAAGAACCACAAATGAGACAATGATCAGCTAGACAATGACTGCTTACTCATGTATGGGGCCCCTCCCCCACCCCAGTGCTTTCTTCCTCTAGACTTACCCCTCATAATAGTACCCTAAAGAAGAAGTTGGGCAACTGAACTTCAGTATCGGGTCCTCTCCTTAACGTGTCACATTCATTAAATCTCCTATCTTTGCTTTTCACCATACTCATGTGTTTAGTTGGCAAATTGGGATGGTTGGCCTGGCCTAACCTTGTTGGGGTTGAGTCCAAGATTTTGTCTTACAAGTCTATCAACAGTACCAATATCGGATAATGCTAGCTCACACCTATAATTTCAGAACTTGGAAAACTGAGGTAGGAAGCGTTACTAATTTTGAGGCTAACTTGAACTGGTGAACTGACGTTGGTTAGCAATGGCTATGGAGTGAAACCTTATCTCTGAAACAAAGAAAACCCAAACCAGGCAACCAAGCAACCAACAAAACAAACATTCAGGTGTTTTTTATTTTATTTTATTTTAATGTCATTAATGGGCTCAATGTTCTGTTTTCTTCATTTGTCATGACTGGAACCTTAAACACAATGATTTTTTTATATCATTTATTAGGCAAAAATTCACAGAAGCAGTGCCCTGAAAAGAAAAAGTGTAATTCATTTCAAGAACACTGTAAGTGGAAGCTTTGAAAGAACAACAAAGCACAGCTTTTTAAACACACTCCCTTTCTCCTCTCGCTCCCAATGTCTTCAGTGGGCATTCTCTTCCCGCCCATGTACTCAGGGATGCTACGTGTGAAGCCATGTGACATCTCCACTCTCTGTCTTTACGACTTTGGGGACTATAGAATTGCTGTGAATAAGGGCTTTAAACAAACCGCAGTGGGACTGGGGTTTATACATGTGAGAGGAAGGAAAGAATAGTGGTTAAAGAACAGAAGCAGGCTTCTTTACAAGTAGGAAGGGTAGCGGCATGACACTCAGAATGTTTATATGGCATTCTCTACCTAGGAAACTCAAGAAATAATTGGAAACAGAATAATAGCCTCAAAGTCTTCCATTGAAAATCAGCAGAACCATTTTATAAAGGAAATTTTAACAAAAAAATAAAACATTGGGACAAGGAGTATAAACACCTGCGGACTTGACATGTAAAGAAATAGAAATTCCAGCTCAGTAGAACATGTTATTAATTTTTAAAATTAAAAACAAAAATTATTGATTTTTTTCTTCTTATTAAGATACCATGTATTTTTGGGGTAATTAAAAATATATATACATAAATATAGATACATATTACATTAGGTACTTTTCTACTGCTGTGATAAAACACCATGACCTAAACAACTTATTAAAAAAAAGCATTTCATTATCTTTTGGTTCCAGAGGGGCTAGAGGCCATGGCGGGCAGCAGGAACAGTGGAGCACTCACACCTCAAACTCTAAGCAAGAGAATGGCACTGAGTCTTTTGAAACCCTTCCCCTAGTGATATACTTACTCCAATGAACCCACATCTATTAATCCTTCCCAAACAGTTTTACCAACCTGTGTTGAAGTATTAAAACAGGTGAGCCTTTCTCATTCAAATGACCACACACATATAAATATATACACATATAAAAGGATTTTAAGTGGAATTACCATATATTGCAGAAGACAATATCACAACAGGACAGCATATGCTCCCACATGGAAACCCCCAGAAAGGGGCTGCATTTTTTGAGTTATTGGCTGAAGGGGTCCCATAGAATCCTCAATTGCAGATTATTGTTGCAGCTATAGTTTAACCTCTACAACCTGCTGGTAGGATCCTATTGCTGAAGACATCATATAGCTACAACACAGAACATGTTGAATTGGTTCTCAACTAGAAGCTTTACCCCTATTGGCTGGCATTCATTCTGCTGATAGGTGTTATAGGCACTATTAGAGAAGAAAAATTAATCACCACGGTCACCCAACTATGAACTCTCTTCATGCTACCATAGCTATCTTGTCTCCAAGCTATGCCAAGAGCTGCAGTAATAGCATGAATGTTATGGGAATAACCAACCACTTTATAACATGTGTTTTAAGGCCCATGAGCTGGAATCCATTCCTGACATTGCTAATAAGGCCAAGAACTTGAGACTAGATAGGTCATAAACTCTAGAAGAAAACCTGCTACTATAATTCTGCTTAATGAGAGTAGCAATAAAATGACTACTAATGACATTTTTGCCATACACATAAATGAGTGTATCACTCACTACTCATCAGAGAAGTTTCCTCTTCCAATAGATGGGAATTAACATACAGACCCACAGTTGGGCAATTCACAGAGAGTGAGAGACTTTGGGACCCTCAGCCTTAAATTAGATGTCTTTATCACATTCCTCAAAGATCAGGGATCTATTTGACTAGAGGCAGAAAGATTATGAGACAGAGATGTAGCATGACTTCAAGGAAACAACGCTTTCCAGACTCAGCAGGACTGCTGCACACACATATGTGTTATCACAGGCGGAAGATCTGCACAACTTCAAGCCAGACAAGACCCCAGCATAGAAAGGGGGAAGTGGACACACAGAACTACCCTTATCCAAGAAGCTGTTTGCAACTGATAGCTGCTAGGAGAGGGAAAAGCTATTCTGTTAGATGAAGTGACAATTAGGTTTAATAACCACACTCCAAAATGGGTCCCACTCTCAGGAGTAGTTCATCAACACAAATTTGACTCCTGATTTTTGGTGTGTGCTCTTTTTTGTTTATTTGGTTTTCTTTTTCAGAGAGATAAGGAATTTGACATTGGATAGGTAGGGAAGTGAGGAAGGTCAAAGAATATGATCAAATACATTGTATAAAATTCTCAAAAACTAAAAATAGAAAAAGGACCAAATTACTATTGTTTTTTTTTACTATTAAGGCAATATATATTTATTTGGAGAAAATTAAAAATATAAAATAATCTCATCTCCCCATAATAATCTTGATTATCAATGCTATTGCCATTTTCCTGTATACGCACTGGTTTTTAAGTTTTCCAATGTTTTAACATTTTGTGGTCATGGAGCTTTTTTTTTTTTTTTTGTTCATAGAAATAACAGTGCTGTACCTTTAATGACTCTGTGATGGTCTTCTCTTTAACAGGCATGTTAACCTTGCATCACGAGGTTATCAAGATGTTTTTCTTCAGACTTTTCTGTTATCCATCACATCTTTCTCATTTCTCTGGCTACTACGGACTCAGGTCATAGATAGCCCAGTAAATGAACCATCCAAATAGTCTAATTAAATTGCACCACATCCTGCTACACACTTCAGAAAGTAAAGTGCAGGGTTACATATCTGAAGTACAAAGGCAAGTAACAGGACCAGAACAGCCACGGGGCTTGGTGGGCTCCCCATGATTTTATAAGAGGCTGGAACTCTGCATGAAGAGATTATTTAGTTATCTGCCTTCACCTATGGATTCTACTTAATGTATGACGTAAGCCCGGGCCGCTAATAAAACAGGAGTGAAACCGAGGCTTGAGAATAACGGTGGAATGAACTTACCCTGTTACATTCCCCTCTCATTTGCCCAGATAGCTAAGAATTATGCTGGCTTCCTGAGGGAAGAACAGTTTGGCTGCAGGGAGATAAGAGCATTAATGAAATAAGAAACATGGATTTTCTAAGCCACACCTGTCACTGTCCTCGGAGCAGCTGGGTCTGAGGGGTATGCCCTAGCCCTGTCAAGACCCAACTCCCTTGACTGTAGAAGCGCTGTCCGAGATGTCTACTTTATGTTTTCAACTCTTTTTTTTTTTTT